CCTTCAGCGCGTGCCGGCCCCGGCGAGGGTGCGTTTGGGTAACCCAGGAAATGCACGGCCACTTGGATTGTCTGCAGCCACCTTCCCCTTCCCCAGACCCCGGGGCATCGCGCAGGGCTGCGTTTCCCAGCCGTCCAACTCTGCTCTCCCATTTCCTTCCCCCAGACATGGAGCTGATGCTGCTCAGGTTCTCCGGGACGGGCACCGGAGGGCATTGCTCTTCCATGGCGCTGCAGGCACCGTCCCAGGCTCTTTGCCAGAGGTCTCCAGCTCCGGGGCAGCTCTTTGGGACAGATGAGCGCCTGTGTGCCGGCTCCGTCCCTCCCCCAGCCCTGCCAGCATGGCTCTGGGATTGGCCCCAGTTTATGCTCATGGGTTAATGGAGCTGAGACGGGGTTTTATGCTCCTTCCATCAAGGAAATGGGAAGCTCATTATGACAAGAGCTTTAATTTGCTCTAGTTGACCTTTCAGGGCGCGCCGGCTGTCCTTTCTGCTCTGCCAGAGCTGTGCTCCTGGAGGTACCATCCTGCCCGCCCCATGGGTCCGGAGCGACCTGCTGATGCCTGGGCGTGAGTTGGCTACTGGCACCGTGCCATGCCAGCCTTTCCTGGTGGCTGCGGGATGTCATCCCCCCACACCGTGTTCCCATGGGATGTCATCTCCCTCGGGACTCCAGCGCCTTCAGTTGGCTTCATCTGCTCGTGGCCCTGCCCAAACCATGCTGCAGCATCCAGAGCTTTTCTCCTTCCTGGCCTTTCCTCACGGAGATTGTGATCGTCCTGACCTGGCCCCTTCCCTCCGCCAGCTCCCCAGACCAGCCAAGCTGAGTCCCCCAGGGCTGCCCTCCCTTCCCACCACCCCTGTGGCCTCTGCAGCACGGAGCCAGGGCGCGGACACCTCATCGCAGGCATTCCCGTGGGCGCTGCTGAGAAAGGGCCTCTGCCCTCGCCGGCGGCCGGGAGCTGGTGGCTGTGTTCCCCTGATGTCCCCCTGGCCCCAAGGCCGTCGTGTCCCTACACCTGCCTGCCCCACGCATGGCACGTGGGTTCCGTGGGAAGGCTGCCTGGTAGCCAGGCCGTGGGCTGTGGTCACCCCGGAGCTCTCAGGGAGCTGGAGCCATAACTGCGCCCCTTGAAGGGGCCGGTGTCCCCCAGCAGTGCCCTGCGCCCTGCACCCACCCGTGCGCCTTGCGCCCTGCACCCTGGACACGCTCCTGCGCCCCGTACCTGCACCCAGTCGTGTGCCCTGCGTCCTGCAGCAACCCATGCACCCTGCATTCTGCACCCTGTACGTGCTCCTGCACCCCGTGACCTGCACCCAGCCATGTCCCCTGTGCCCTGCACCCACCTGTGTGCCCTGCACCCTGCATCAACTCACGCTCTCCTGTGCCCCGCACCCAGCCATGTGCCCTGTGTCCTGCACCCTGTACGCACTCCTGCATCCCGTGACCTGCACCCAGCTGTGCCCTGTGTTTTGTGTCAACTCATACACTGTGTCCTGCACCCTGTACGCTCTCCTGTGCCCCGCACCCAGCCGTGTGCTGTGTCCCGCACCCTGTACGCACTCCTGCATCCTGTGACCTGCACCCAGCTGTGCCCCCTGTGCCCTGCACCCTGCATCAGCTCACGCA